AGGAAGTTAATTTCCACAAATGAAGAAGGAGAAGAGGTTTGGGTATGGGCATAGGAGGGTTGTCAAAAGTTCCTGAAGCTGATTATGACCTGACTGAATCGGAGCACCTTGACTTGTCTGGTAATTATCTGGAAGAATTACCAACAAGTATTAACAAGCTGAAAAATCTCAAAACACTGACATTAAACAACAACCAGTTGAGAGATCTTCAATTTCCACACATGATTTGCGAGTTGAGTAACCTGACCATGCTTAGTGTGAGTAACAACCAGTTGTCTGTTCTACCTTCAAACATTGAACGCCTCAAAGAACTGAAAAGACTCTACTTGTACAATAACAAGTTGACCACATGGCCTGATGATGTTGGTAAGCTGATGGAGCTCATAATGTTGGATGTGAGTAATATGAAGCAGAGAACTTCCACACACTATTTGTGAGTTGAAAAACCTGGCCAGGCTTAGAAACCAACCAGTTGTCTGTTCTACCTTCAAACATTAAACACTTCAAGAATCTCCAGAGGCTGTACTGTAGTTGTTGGGTGATAATCAGTTGACTACACTGCCTGATGAGATTGATGAACTGAAGTTACAAATTTTATTAGAGACAGGGTTTCAGATCTTAGTAGCAGAGGGTTGTCAAAAGTTCCTGAAGCTCTTTCTGACTTGACTGAATTGGAGAAACTTGGCTTGTCAGGTAACTATCTGAAACAATTACCAACAAGTATTAACAAGCTGAAAGATCTCAAAATGCTGAGATTAAACAAGAACCAATTGACAGAACTTCCTCACATTATTTGTGAGTTGAGTAACCTGACCATGCTAAGTATGGATGACAACCAGTTGTTTGTTCTACCTTCAAACATTAAACCTCTCAAGAATCTCCAGGGACTGGACTTGAGATACAACCAATTGACTACATTGCCTGATGAGATTGGTGAACTGAAGGAGCTGGAAGGGCTGAACGTGGGAAAAAACCAGCTGCCAGTTTTATCATCACACATAAAACATCTCAGTAAACTCTGGAGACTGTTGTTGAGTTACAACCAGTTGAATACATTGCCTGATGAGATTGGTGAACTGAAGGAGATGGTAGAGCTGAATGTGGGAAACAACCAGCTGACAGCTATATCATCACACATAAAACACCTCAATAAACTCTGGATACCGATATGAGCATAGGAAGGTTGTTGACTGCTGTTACTGACCTGACTGAATTGGAGGACCTTTACTTGTCAGGTAATTATCTGAAAATAATATGATTTTAGTACTCAGGAAATGCAAGATGTATCATTTTGGAGGTCAAAAGAGATGTACACTGTCTAATTTTAAAGACAGGAAATGAGTGACATTTACTATAACTAGCAGGTAAAAAAAGTTGGAAAAGTTAGCTTTTAATTTTGACCCTGAAAACGCGTCATACGTAGATGACTCCCTTGGCATATCGCCGACTAGCAAGCAGCCCAGGTGGAAAATTACCTCAGTGGGGCTGCTGCAATGCACAGCCAAGACAGGGCTTCTTAAGTTCATCCAAGATGCCTTGTTAGATGCTTTTTCAGGTGGGCCTTTCAGTGCCTTCCTCTTTTATATTTTGGACAAAGGGCCGAAAATCGCCAAAGAAAAATTTGAAAAACCCAAACTGCCCACCAGTGAAACGGCTAACTTTGCTTTGTCCAGAAGAGGGTCCAACCACAGTAACAAAAGTCCTTGCCTTCACAAAATGGTTTTAGGATCAGAAACTGACCTAAAAGATGGGCCCTTCACCTACCAGCTGAGGAGAGCTTCAAACTAAGGCCATAGGAATGTAATGTAATGAGGAAATAGAGCAGGATCCAATTTGTAAGCACTAACAATGTTATCATTGCCTTTAGTCATGTCTATTTTCCAGTCATTGTGTATTCAGTATATGCCTTGTGCTTTCACAAGTGACTCTCGTCACTTCGCATCTCTTTAAAAGTAAAATGTTCTAAATATTTACCGATAGTCTTAATATTACAAAAACATGTACTGCATCTCACATACTTTGCAAAGAAAAATTAACATACCATTCCATTGTTTATCAACACTAAGTTTTTACCTTTTTATCACCAATGTTCATTTAGTAGACCAATAATTTGAGGTAGTGAACAACTGGTGATCTCATGGCCGAGCACCGACACAGCCCCAGCATCTGAGTTTATAACTCCATATTTTTTCACAATGGATTTTCCCTGCTTGCTCCCATAAGGAAAAGGTGATTTTCATATAAATCGTCCAATAACACGACCCACACAACATGATTGGGCAGAGCACCTTCAGGTGGTATCAGGATGGGAGGTTTGCTAGACACAAAGTATGGAAGTTCGTCGTTTACAAACAAATGTAAAACAATAAAATTGCAAGCAAGATATAAATTCCCAACCATATATATTTGTGAGTAATAATGGGTAAAAAGGTAATGGTAATGTTTTAGGAGATAGGTGTTGGGTCATTCGAAATATAATCTTGGAATATTTTAGGTGTTAGGGATACAGTGACATTATGGACTTGCTCCTTATCTAGCTGATCAAATGTTGTCTTCTCTTATTGTTGTTGTTGTATATGCAGGTGCTGCATTTCCTAGGAAAGAGTTCTTCAGCGAAATATGTGTAAATTACTTGGCTGTTGTTGCACTGGAAATGGTGCCGTGTAACTTAACTATTTTGAATGCAGTATCTACTTAAATAATGTTGGCCGATTCTTGGTAAAATACCTTCAAGTTGGTACATTCATTTCTGCGAGCACCATTACTGCACTGCATGTCTTCGGTTCAGCTTCTTTGTCCAGCAACTCGTTTGTTTACTCGCAGGTGTCTATCGAGAAAATGAAATAAAAATTGAAATCTAGATTTGGAAGCACTCTTTTTGGAATTAGTTGTTTTAGATTCCTTCACTTATTTTTAGTCTCCTGTCCAATTTTTCAGTCAAACCTTGCTCTTTTTACTGATCTTTTCAAGGAGTTTGATAGCGATGTTTAATTACTTTATTCACACTTCGACCCAAATAAAAAAAAAAAGATTCTTTGCAATAGCAGCCGCACCTTGTTAGAATGTGTTTGTACCAAGAGCACGTTCACTTAATGAGATGGATAGTTCCAACTGGAAATCCCGCCCATGAAGCTGGGAGTTTGCAAACCTATTTCTTGTAACACTTTAGTCGTAGAGAATTTTCCACAACAACTTTTATTAGAGACCTTGGCACCTTTCCTTGATTTTATTCTGTAAACTTATTCGTGATAATTTTTATATTTTACGTGCTGTTTTATTTTGATCATACACCCTTATGCTTGATAGTGGAAGTACAGGAATGAAAAGATTTTTCACCAAGTAAATTCTGTGAAGGTGCATACCTAGGGTGACATACGGCACAGCCGCATTCATGCTAGTAGAACACTGCACATGTACTGACATAAGCGTTGATTTCCGAATTTGACGGATTAGACAGCTGACTGACAGCACAGGTGTGATCCAGATAAAAGAGCGCGGGCCAAACCTACGTGTCAGAGTTGTAATGATCAGAGTTGAATGAAGTTTGTCAAGAGCAGAAGTTGAAAAGAGATCATTAGAGATTAAAAGTGAGCAAAAGTGCCAGTTTCCAGCAAAGACACACCTCCCTATGTTCCAGACAATACCTAAAACTTTTCATTCCAAACTATTCCATACAATACTTTGACTTTTTATGATTAGTTGCACCTTTGCCGTGAGGAGGTGCCCATATCCCTGCCATCACCAAGTTGGGAGGCCTTTAGACATCACATCATCATCATCATCGTATTTTCCACCTGCTCTTATTTCCCATTCAACAAAGACCACCTCCTACCAAATTAATGAACTCAATGCATCCAGGCAATGCCTGTTTTATGGTAAGTACCATTATTTAGAGTTTTTGTTTTGAATAGGCAAGGTTGGTTACTTGTAATTGGTTAATTGTGAAAATTGAAGTCAGAAGAATTTTTGACTGTAATGTGTAATGCCCTCATTCAACACTTCCACATTAATGTATATGTTAAACAGGATCTTACTATGGATAACATCAGGAAAACAGCATGAGAGTTTGAAACGAGAGATCAGAGCCAGTTTGATGCATTTGTCTTCATCATCCTTTCATATGGTGATTGTGATGATGTTGTTTTTGGTGTGAATGGAGGGAATGTAAGTGTTGCAGAACTCATCTGTTTCTTCCTTCCCTCTTGTTGTTGTTGTTGTCTCGTCACCTGGCTCACCACAGGAACTGGTTTCCCTAGTCCTGGTCCATGCCATTCAAGAAAACATACTACTACTCAAGATGTTTTCAAGTTATGATGCTGCAGAATTCCTTCGAAGGGAAATCCAACAATACTGTAACAAGCCTGGTGCAGACCATTTCAACGGTCCCATTACACCACAGTCACGTCCCTTTCCAATACATATTCTGGGGGTGCCTTCTACCTTGGGGGAAGATACATATAATCGCATTGTTACCCTTTGGCCCTGGAAATGTAGTTGCATTGACAATGATCTTAACTTTTTTGTCTTAATTGAATATATTTCCACTCCCAATTTATCTTTACATCACTGCTGAAGACAGCTGAAACTAAGGAGGGAGGAATGTTACTGCACATTAGATATTAATTGTGCTCTATTTCATGCCCTTCAACAGACCAAAAAACTAAACCAACTGCCAAACCACATGTACAGGGTTTCGGGCCAAAACAGTCCAGCAGAGCAACGTAATGCCAGCACCAAACTTTTTCAAACCACAGTTAAGACTATGCATGGGTTTTTGCCATTTTTTCCACCTTTCATACAAATGACTATATTAAACAAATAAATATTGTTCTCTTTGGATATTGCTTGATCAAGGAAAATTTTAAGACAAGTTTGTATTAAAACTCTTTTTTTCTATTATTTATTTGTTTACTTTTTTTAAAAAAATTGTATCAATGTTATATAAATTTTTTTCTATGTTATTTTTTTTTGGCTATTGAGAAATCAATTAAGCCCAATTCTATCAAATAAAAGTTGTTTTTCTTTAGTTATTACTCATTTTATACTTATTCCCCATTTTCATTGTTTCACTGTAAATAGTCTTCTAATTTGAATAATTTACTGTAAACATAGCTTTTAGCATGTTGTAGTTTTAGTTATATTTTGTATACCATTATTTCTTTAAGTAAACATTATCAGGGCTTCTGTTGACCCTAGGTGTTTTTGTTTCTAAAAGGAGCACCTGTTATAAATTAAGTAAAGGTGTCGATCTATCCAGATATACAGGTTTTCGTCTTTTTGACAATCACAAAAAAATGTTTGCTAGAACAAAACTGTACCAAGTGTGTTGATATGCGTTAAGCTTTAATTTTTGTTCCAGAGAACATTCAGAAATTGTAGGACTAATTGACAAGAACACATTTGTGTTGTCAGAGTTATTAAACAGGTGAAAAGTGAACAAGATCCATAGATGTAGTAAAAGAAGTATTTAAAAAGAATACGTGCCAAGGAACATGGTAGAAAATGTTGAGAATAAAGCAAAAGTTTTAGCAACCAATGAAATCTCCAGTTAGTGTTCAAACTAAACTGGACAAGATCCACAGAAGTAGCAAAAGAAGTATATAAAAAGAATACATGCCAAGGAACATGGTAGAAAATGGTAAAAATAAATCAAAAGTTTTAGCAACCAATGAAATCTCCAGTTAGTGTTCAAACTAAACTGGACAAGATCCACAGAAGTTAAAGAAGTATTTAAAAAGAATACATGCCAAGGAACATGGTAGAAAATAGTAAGAATAAAACAAAAGTTTTAGCAACCAATGAAATCTCCAGTTAGTGTTCAACGTAAACTGGTTTCACTCACACCTGAATGACATTGTGATCAAGTTCTCTACCTTCAGTACGGGTCAGACATTTTCCTCACCCTTGAATTATTCTGGATATGATAAACACATCAGCCATTAATTGTTAAATTTAGTTTCAGCATGTTCTCCTTTCATCTTTGCATAACAGATACAGTTTAAGAAGTGTTGAGACTTTTGGACTAGCAGCATCAGTTGATGAACTGATACTGAGTTAGGTAAGTCGAGAACTAACAATTACTTAGGTTACACTGTACACATTTAGTTGGATTGAGTCACGTCACTTGACTACATCACAGATGGTTTTGTCTTTGAAAGAGTTTGTGTAAAATGGATGCATTCATGATGCTGTTTTTGTACCTTCCTGATATTTGACAGCTTAGAACTTCTAAGTGTAAGGTTTCACAATTCCTATTAATTTGTCTGAATATGTTGTTAATTTTAGTGTTAAGTTCTGCGTCTGTAATAGATTTACCATAGATGTATCTGAGTGTTTTCTAATGATTGTGCACAAAACACTGAGCATTACAATTAACTCGTCATGTTGCATGAACTGTGTGTTGAAAACTTTCAGTGAATTGGTCTCAACAGAAGGAGAAACATGTTTGTGAAGTTGTGTCAGTGTGCTCTGTGAGTTTGAATATATTACCAAAATATTGTTTTTCATTTATTACTTTACAGTTTCTCTTACTATTAACTTCAATATTTCAATACATTAATTGAGTATAACAATTCTATAAAGTTGGAAATTCCTTACGAATGACACTGAAATAATAATATACCAGAACACAAAGAATAAAAAAACTTAACTACATGTACAAAAGTAGCTTATTCATAATCCCCCATGTCAAAAAAATAACATGTTAATTTAAATCAGTTAATTTTAAAAAATAAATATATTTGAGGCAATATTTCTGAGAAAATATTTCACTTTATGCAGTTGTAACCAAACAGATGTAATGATTGCTCAAGCTAAGGTGCATGCATAAATATGTATGTAGTTACATTTTAATGCATTGCTAATGAATAGACAGTTATACTGCAAATTCCTAACGCATAACAAACATGTAATGTGAGGATATAAAAGAGCTGATTGATTAAACCATTAGCCGCTGAACAGTTGGAGTGAAAAATGTTGTTGTCCACACACATTACAAAATGAGCGAACTCGTAATGTGGGAGTAATTCATTCTCGCCGGCTGAGCTTGCGAAAGAGGTGAGAAATGAGGTTCTCACACACTGAAGTGGGGGCTGGGCCCAAGTTAGGATATCACTTGTCACGCTAGGTCTCATGCTTCAGTTTTCTGTTCCTTGCCACATGAGCAACAGCTTTTTTTTCTTATTCTAGGTTTCAAAATCTTTGTTTGTCACTAACATGCCTCCAAAATCCAGAGCAAGCTCAGGAATTATTTCCTCACAACCAGTCCCGAAAAATCTGGCAGAAAACGATTGAGAAAGGAGCTTGATGCCGAAGAATTGAGGAACCGAAGAGACTGGAGAATTGACGAAATGAAGATTGTGTGGCAGACAAATGGCATTCAGTGTGTGAGAATGTAAGGAAGACTCATATAGTAGACTTGTTATGTGCAAGTAAGCTGTACTTTTAAGAACCGATTGATCAAACTGTTGGCCATTGATCTGTTGGAGTGAAAGTTGTTGTCATCTGTGTGCATTACAAGATAATCAACTGTTGGCTTATAAGTAATCAAGTGCGGCAAAAAACTATCAGATGTAATCTGGAAGCTTGCAAATCACTGCTTGTGGCATACGCAAAACACAGTTATCTAAATGCTGCTTGGAAAAATACTCTAGAAAATATTCTGTAGACACACACACAGTGTTACAAACTGACAATGAGACTTTTGAGATCCATTAAAAATAAACCCTGTAGAAAAATAATATTATGCAGGCCTGAATATTGAATCATGTATAACAATAATAGGCTTCTTGTTCGATACTTTGTTTTAACTAAACACATTCAGATGATTTTTTTGGTCCATTTTTTTCGTTCATATAAAATCGTAACCCTACAAATCACTTACCTTTCTGAGCACATCCTCCAATACGTCCTTTTCATCAGCAGAAAGTTCCTCTGCCTGACCAGTACTGTTTAAAAAGCCTGAAATTGTCTCAGTCCAGCCACTTTCTTTGAAGAGCTCTCTAGCAAGAGGTAAGGAACTTGCTAACGCTGAAAAAACCTGTAACCCAAGAAGCCATAGCTCTGAAATATCTGCCCATGCTTCCTTACATCTGAGAGCCAGTGGAGTTTTCTTGCAACTGGGTGGCAGGTCTCCATTGCAGTTGAAGCACTTTGCCTCTTTCAAGACATAGATGGAGTCCTTCAAAAAAACAGGTAGCTCTACACAATCTAAAGCTACACTGCCGCACTCTGTGTGGTTTCGGATCAGCATTAGACCAAGTACGACAAAGTTCAATAGAATGACGACATTCCCTTCTGAGGAAAGTAACTGAGAAGCAGAGGTTATAGCGTGCTGGCCAATCTCCTTGAATGTGTGATCACTTGTAACAAGTTCTGGCTCTGTTACGACAATGTTCAAAAAAATGCCAAGCAATGTAACAAGGCACATCTCTACCTCATCTAAACCCATGTCATCATTCATATGCTGACGCCATATCTTCCACTGATGAAAAAAGTACTCTGAAAGAAGTAACAGCCCTCTGTTTTGAATGAGAATTTTGCGTGTTTTCTCATCGGCTGAGAGATGGCATAGGGGTGGTAGAAGAAACCTTATGATGTCGAATTCATGTCGTAATCTTTCTCCCATCACATCATTTGGGGTAGTTACATTGACAGCTGTGCAAGTTGATTGTGAAATTTCCGTTTTGTCACCTCCATCCAAAAGATGTTCTGAAAAAGAGAAAACAATAAATATTGTATAACTTAGCAACATTACTAAGAGGCCAAACATGTTGACCATTACAAGCAAGTATATACAAAGTTGTCATATCACTAAGCATTTAGAGTGATTCCATCATAATCAATTTTCTAATTTTCCATACATTTATCTGTAATTTTTTTCCCAACAAACTGCATCTACCCAGCCAAATTTACAGATGTATGTATGGAAAATTAGAAAAATTAACTGAGTGTCTTGTAGCCAAGCTACATCCTTCAAAGTTGGTGAATACTATCTTCCACCTAGTATTTTCACATTGCGATTCACAAATTGTGTAGAATTCAATTTTGCAAAAAGTTATTTGCCATTGCATTCCCATACAAACACTGTAATATCTGACTACTTTGCCTACCCGTCAAGATGGCATCAAAAACCTTGATAAGGTCTGTGATGAATTGATTATTTGAATATTGAACCCATCAGTCATAAAAATATTCTTGGCACGACTAGTGGGTGCAATATTCAAATAATCAATTCAGTATTGCAAACTTGAGGAATATGCTTCGCTTGGTTTGACTGTCATCTCCAATGACACGAAAGAAAGTGCTTCAACTGCATTTTCGCTCTCATTTCGCCAAATTTTTTGGCGTTTCCAAGGGAAATCTTTCCAATTTTAACACATTTTTTTCCTGGCTGAATCTGTGGAGCTCAACTTTTAACGACAGTTTTTAAGGCCCAGAAGGTAAAATTGGCAACCTTCCAGATTTCACATATTTAGGGCTTGCACCACTGGAATACAGACATCCACATAACACAGAAGTCTGAGGTTGGTGTGAATTCAAAGTCAGCTGCATTTCCCATTCTTGTGTCAATTTAATCTACACGCTGAGACAAATTCCTTGTTTGCTTCCAAAAATTTCATTTTCGTTGCGATTAACACATCTAAACACTTTTATAGTACAAAAATAATTATATCTCAGAAAAAGCTACAAACAAAACCAAACTGAAGAAATCAATTACACTGAAGCTGAATATTATACAGTATGCAAAATAAATATCACAAGTACATAACGGGAAACTAAAACAAAGAATCTGGTGACACAAAAGCTTACAAAAAACACAGGACTATGCAAATGAATTCCTGACACCAAGCTCTTAAAACAAAGCTATTTTGCACCAAAAAAATGTTTATCATCTGCAGTTGCAAAAGCAGTCACAAGTCAACCGGTCAAACACATGTGGTGTAAGCAGGATACCATATGTAAAACACAATCTCTCTTTTAGTAGCTGCTGACCTTCTTTTTGCAAAAAAATCTACCACACATTAAAAGAAAAAATGCACATAATTTAGTGGTGTCCTGGAAAGCTGCAGTCACCTTCACTGTTTTTCATTAATTTCTCTTAAAAAAAATGCTCCAACTGGCTTTGTCGTAGCTTTACAAACGAAAAAATTGACTATGTTCAAAACACAAAATTCAATTTGCTGCTCAATATCAAAGGTCAACCATAGAAAGCTACTGCCCGGCATCTTTATTTCAACGATCATGAACATTTTGAAATTTCTGTTTTCAGGCTCTGAATTTTTTTGTTTCTTACTATGCCAGAGAAATTTGAAAACTGCATTTTCACTCTGAAAATGCATCAAATGTTTTCTGTCCTCAGTACACCGCAGAAATTTGAATACGCAACAATCACTAGTCATTTTGGATTTGTGTTAGAAGACTCCAGTAGGGAAATCACTTGATTACTCTGATGTTATCATTTTCGAAAAGTTCCGTTCTCAAAATGTTTTCCATCCTCACTAAAATGTAAAGCTGGCATTTAAGTTCCTCTGGTTAGAAGAGTGTTTTCGAAAAGTTCTGTTTTCATCATAGATTAGTGTGGACAATAGGCCAAACCATAGAAATAAAACTGTGTTTTCAGATTTCTCTGGTGCGGTGTAGATGGGGCCTTAAACACTGTATTTTGTTAAAGCTTGAAATAATGGCAGTGGATGTTTAATCTTCTACATGAAAAAATAGTTTACCACTTCCAGACACACAAAAAAGAAAATATTCATTAATACCTTTGGAAGCCTCTAGTGATTCCTTTCCTAGCTTCAACAGAAATGGCAACAGCCTGCAGATATCATCTCGAAGAGCAGCAGTTTCTTCTGCCATCCAAGCACAAAGGACTCGAACTGAAGCAAGCACCACATGGCGTTCTTGACCAGTTATTGTTTTTCCCACCTGTGCCACATGGTCCATAAACATAACAATAGAGTGGACTGACTCCGTTGCTAAGGAGTAAACCTTTGGGAGACCGTCCAGAACAATGGCTGGTAATTTTCTGTTGTTTGGTGACTGTCCCGTACTGACAATGGCAAAGTTAATTGCTTTTTCGAGGATATTGAAACAGCTGCACAGTAGAGTTGCTTTGTTTACAATCTCTGCCGCAGTTTTTCCGTCCAAAATCATCCTTATCTCAACGCTAACAACTGTCAGGCTTAAAATGTACAATCCTGGAGACTGCTGTCGTGAAAACTCAATCATCCAGTCCATTCCGACAAGCTCAATGACAGCCGATAACAAAATAATGGCAGGATTTCTTTGTTCGGACGAAATTCTTGATTGAAGAATCTCGTTCAAACCTTTGTAAACGCCAGCCAGCCATCTGTTCTCGCCTCCTTGAAAAACAGATTTCTCTGCCCCAGATAGAAAAAGGACCAGATAATCGCACAGTTCGAATTTTGTGTTGTCCTGTGCTTCGCTCAATCTTTGGCTTAAACCATTCAAAGCTTCCATGAGGACCTCTCTTTGTTCCTGCCAAAACACGCGTGGGTCATTGTTTAGAATTGGAAGGAATGTTTCCAGAGCTTTTTCGGCATATTTCTCGTCTTTATTTTCGCTGACGACTCGAGAAAGCGTTGAAAATACCCCATTTTCCACTAAATGTCTGCACCCCGTTGAACTACAAGCGAACGAAGCGATAATTTGAAAACAGTCTTCGACGCTAGCTTCGCTCACACTAGTTTCAGCCGAGTTGGAAATGCCGTCCAGAAACAACGGTATCTTCTTTACCATCTCAGGGTGTACACAGAGTTCTTCGTCAGAGGAAAAACAGGCAAGAATCGTTAACGCCAACGAGTTGTAGACTTGAGCAGGACAATCGCTCGGTACATTTCTGGTGTTCAGTAATCTATTTATGAACTTGAAACCGATCGCATCAAAGACCTGCCTTCGCCCCAGGCTATCTATCTCGTTCGAATGAACTAGTTGAGTGACCAAAAGTAGCGCGGCGAACCGTTCCGTGTCGTTTTTCGCCGCTCTGAGAACTGAAATACACTTTTGAAGCGAAGATTCGGGATTTTCTTTCCTTTGAGGAGTGAATTTACACGTCGCTTCGCTCATGATAACTCTTGCAAATGATGTTTACACAATGCAAAACCTGCTGAAGGTCACCTGAAACCTCTCCTTGGGAACGAGGTTGAGCTAATCAACAAGACTAAAAGAAATAGCGATAACCTCATGTATGTGACATATACTATACCTCTGCGAGCAACCCCAAGGGAAGCCTGCCCAAAGGACAACATATGTAACATACATGGAGGTATTACCAAAAAAAAAAAAACAGAAAGAAAAATTACATATGGCCGCCAACAAACGGCAGAGTACGTGACTCATGGAATGTTGAGCTGAAATATTCTTATGTCGGTTTGATAAATGGCCAGTTTACTTGGCCACCTACATTTTTGGTCGTTAAAGAAGTTTAAGACCATCGCTGGTAAGTTTAGACTCGTAATACGTTATTTACACAGGATGAAAAACAAATAAGCGTAAGTTTGTGATTTTGTTTGAATTTGACAAGCGATCGCTTTTATCATGGCACTCAAGTGATGAATTTAAAAAAAACAGGAGAGCAAACGTTGTACGAAATACAGTGCTCATTTGTGATACCGTTTCTAGAATTTGCGTCTTATCATCTCTGTCGTGTACCGTAAACTGTTGCTTATGAGCCCTCGGCTAATACAATTTCGTAAGGGCTTTTAGATGGGCTTATATCCGACGGGGCTTATAACCGGATTAAAAAAACCGGTTCGAAATCTAGAGGGGGGCTTATATTCAGGGGATGCGGTTTTTGGTTTACAGGTAGATGGGCCTATGACCAGGGGTTGGGGAGGGGGGGGGGTTATAAGCAGCAGGGCTTATAAGCGGCAGTGGTATATTACATCTCATCGTGGGCACCTGATCTAGGGATGTAGCGGGGACAAAAATAGTACCAGTTCAACACGGATTGCTGATTTGCCTCATTTCGAATGAGAAGAGCAGCAATTGTTTATTACTCATTCTTGAGTAGCAGCTATTGTCATTAAATCAGAGTTCTGAGTTCATTCCTTCCAAGTTTTGCCTCTGCCTCTGTGGATTTGCAGCAAATCATGTATACCTCCTGTAAACTTCTCTGCACACCCACATTGAAAATATGCATACTCTATACCGTGGGTATTAGCATTTTAACCCCTCCCTTTCCTTCTGAAATTCCAAAGTCATTACCCCCCTCCCTTCCAGATTTATGTTTCTTATTTCAATTCTCTGGAATCCTAGTTTGACTCCCTAGGACTTCCAATGAAAGAGATTTTATGCTTTTACATCTTTCAAGAAGTTTTTGCTAATAACTTTCCATCGAACAACTGTCTGCAGGGCTCAAAATTGCAACTGATATGATTGTAAGCATTCACCGAACATTTGTTCGGTAACTAAAACGTTCTCCTTTTTAAGCACAAGTTTGTAACTAGTTTTCAACTAAACTAGTGTGTTAGTTACTATGGAAATTAGAACATGCATGGGCAGATCCTGCCTAAGTTACCTTCAATATTACGAACAACATTCACTCAATCAGACGCCATTACAGTGGTTTCTTTATGGATACATACCACTGGTGTATAGTGAGCAAACATGGCGGGTCCGTTGGCGGGTCGGTGTCTGTCACAAACAATTAATCTAACAAGAAATTTGTAAACTTTAAGGTCTCTGAAGCCCAATGTACCACCCAGATTGTATCGATTTTCTTTTGTAAATGAACGCAGCAAACACATGTGTGACTGATTGATGCTTGTCTTGTATCCTGCTTTCCGGGGTCATCAAGAGTTATCAGTTCTTTCTTTCATTCACACTCTTGTCTGTCCCCTCTAGAAACCCCCCATGCCCTTGGAATTCTATTCATAAGTATCCCCCCATGCCTTTGGATTTCCAGTTCAAAGTACCCCTCTTGCCCTCAGAATTTGAAAAAGCCACCCGTGGTAAAGGTATGGATATACCTTATAATCAATCCTTTAATTAAATTTGCATCAATTTGTTTAATGCATGTTAAAAGTAAACATATAGACCATGATAATAAAGAAAAGAAACACATTATCACTTGTGAATGAAAGTAGTGTTTGGTAGAATCATGATCAAATTTTCCCAATTATCACATGGGGACCTGTTAGGAGATTCTGCACGTTCATCTCACTTGCCTTTCCCTTCTCTCCTCGAAAATGCAGATTGCGATATTGGAACTCATGTCTACCATGACAAAGCTTCTGGTACAGGTAACATTTTAAGATACTTTTTAGTACTTTTGAACTACTTTGTTGTTATACTCTTGTGAGTGATGATAAAGCAGTGGCAGATCCAGACCTTGAGCTAAGGGGGGCGGGGCGTTTTATTTTGCTTACCCTGCCAGCTTTTCTTTCTTCTGTGATTTCTTCTTTTTTACCCAAAATAAGGGGGAGGGGGGGCTGGGGCCCTTGGGCCCTTCCCCTAGATCTGCCATTGTAAAGTAACCATAGCAATGGACTAGCATCCCATCCAGGGGGAAGAAGAAATAATTTTCTAGTTGCTTTATCCTACAGAAACCAGGATAGGTTCCATGAATGGTATCATGGAACACTTGGCATTATAACATCAGTGCCAACCCCACCCCTGCCCCCCACCACCACCCCTAGATTGAGATCTTCTAAAATGGGTGAGGCCTGAAGTGGTGACAATAAACCTATTCTCACTTCAATAGTGACAGGGGAAGATCTAGGAAAAGTGTGCAGAGGGTGCACACCCACCCCTGAGATGAAGACTTCTTCTTCATATTCCCTTTAAAAATTGGTTAACCTCACCAGTCTGCAGTTACGCCATTCCTTAGTGGTGCACCCCTCCTAAGAAAAATCCTGGATCCACCCGCGAGTGAAGTAGCTCTGTAGCCTTAGAAGGAGGGATATTTTTGACCCGTGCATTTTTGTTCTGCATTAAGCCATTTCTGAAGGGGGGAAGGGAAGCTTCATGCCTTAAAAAGATACATATGCGGTCACAGGCTCACATTTAATACAACTTATCTCCTGCTTAGCTCGCAGACTACCTCAAGAACAAGCAGAACCTCACCCTGCAAACCGCACCCTTCTACGACCCAGACAAGCTGAAGATCAACAGCCAAAGAGATCTTGTTGTTCTGAGAAATCACAATCTTGAGTAGAACTGTACAGATATTAGTGTAACTTGTATTAAAGAGTCGGTAGGTACAAGAATTCCTTAAATTGAGATTCATTCAGTATAGTAGTAAGAGCCAGGAACAACTCTACCATTGGAAAGGAAAATATCTGGTATTGTTGCAAAGATGGCACACAAGCCATGGTTCACTTCAGAATTGCAAGGGGCCTGGGTATGAGTAGCTAGAATTTATTAAGTGAGAGGATAATTGAATGAACCCATGTTCGATCCCTTTTATGAGACATTCCTGCAGGGAATCAGGGTAGTCATGGTAGTTGTATTCATCATCTTGGGCTAGATATTTGATTTAATGAATACAACTACCATGATTCCCTGCAGGCATGTCTCAGAGAGGGAATAGACCAATAGACCAATTTCGATATATTAAAATTCAGCCTAAAACA